TATCAGGTTTATTTCTGAATAGATTTGTCTTATTGACTCCATCTTTTTCGCTCTTTCTTTTTCTCCTGCATCTTGGAGTTTAGAGTGACACACCAAAATATCAAAGTCACTTTTCCAGCTTCCTTTCTTTCCATCTTCACTCATTAATAAGTTCATCTAACTTCTTATCTTTGTTTTCTGTATTTTCGTTCGCTTCTTTAGTTTCTGGGGCTGCAACCCCATCATCTTTTTTTGTGATACCCCATAGTCTGTCCCATTTCTTGTCAAATTTCTCCTTCTGAGATGTTTTTAAGTCCAGCCAAAATGTTTTGAATTATCAAGTTTTCTTCATCTGAGTATTGATCCATTTTTTAAGAGTAAAAAGATATATACGTATACGTACTCTAAAAATGGAATGAAATCTAAATTTATAGGTACAGATATGGATCAGTGGTGGGTTCTGCATCCCATTCCAACTGATACAGTTGGAATGGGCCTGGCATCACCCACATGGATACACACAGTGCGGGCGCACATGCAAGTGGCTCATGCATACGTTGTAGCTGCCAGCTGCTTGTCAGAGCGTCGCGCAGGCGCTGTATACACCATGTGCGTGTGTGTAAGTGCCAAAAGTTTTAAAGGACAGGTAAGGAGCTCAGGCATCATACCGGAACTGTACCCGGTGTTCCGGGCAGACTAGGTTTTCCCAGTCACCATCTCTTCGGGGTGGTTTAGGTCCTGCGGGACTGTCCAGGGGCAAAAGTGTCATCAGCGGATTTGGACTGTCAAGTCCACATGATGTAATGTTGCGATGTTGGCTCCTCCTCATCCCCATCCCCACCCCTGTTGAAGAAGACAATTTTCACATAGATGGCCTCTTTGAGCACTCTTTCAAACCAGCGGTCTTCTCCATCCAAAACGTGGATGTCACTACTTTTAAGAGTTTGCTGATCCTTTGAAAAACTGAGAAGGGGTATATATGTGTGTGCAGTAAGCAAGTGTGTGCACATATAACAGAGAATTTTTGCAGTATAATTTCGCTTTCTTAAACCTAGATGGTACCACAAGAGGATTCATTTGTTGATGTGGATTTAATGGAGTACTTTTTGTTTTTGTTATAAATGAAAATATGTGGGTATTATGTGACACTGCTCATAGTCTATGATGTGCATAAATAAACTGTGGCTATATTACCTTTGTCTGCTTATATTCTTTCTATTTAAATATGCAGGCATAAGCGATATGTGATCTGTGTCAATAGATAACCTCATCCTGTGGTTTCATATAGACATAGTTCCTGTCTACTTTCTCAGGAGGAATCATAAACTCATAGTATTTAATTTCAACTCAAGAATATTTGTCAACAGCAGCAAATATTTTATTCCTTTATTCAACCATACACTGATTGATATACCTCTTATTCTGAAGCCTCTGGAGAACATTACATTCATAGTCTTTCAAATACAAATTCTAAATGCATTGTTCAGGCCAGACGTCTGAATAGAAGTCAGTGAAGGATTGCAAAATTACTGTAATACTAATTGAAAACCATTGCACTTGACTAAGATGAGATTCACATAACGGCATATATTTATATAAAGTTCAACCATGCAAAGCATTTATCCCATTAATTCTTAACTATTTTTAAAGGATTTTTTCCCCCATACTATTATACCGGTCTGATGATGAGATGGCGGGGGGAGGTCTCTCGCTTAGAGACTGATTCATTATTTCTGCCTATTTCTTGTCTATCTCCAGGAAATGTGTAGAATGCAAGATAATACAATCGTGACATCCTTATTGCATGCTAAATGTGTTTTTTTACACGAATGGTTACAGAAAGGGACATTAACTTTAAAATGTTTTTCTTTATTAGAAAGATGCATCTCCTTTGTATTTTGAATTCACAACATGTAAATGTTGCCTTGATTTCTGCAGCCTTTAGCAGTCTTACAAACACTTCAGATTCATCATAACGGGGGTGGGGAGACCTTTAGAAATAACACTAATACTCCTACACTAAAAGGAAAATATAATATGCTAGTCCAAACAGGTACTCCATTCACAGCGCCTTTCCTGCTCTACCCACTTACCTCACAATGACGCTTATTTTTAGAAATGATCTTAACAATTGGGATTTTTAAAAGCAGATTCTGCTCGGGTGAGATATCAAGTGCTATTACAGCCAGAGCACTTTTTTGTGCTGCTGGATAATGATCAGACTGCTGTTCAATGTCTACCTGCATAGCACTAAAAGAGAGAGGGCGAATGAGGGAGGGAGGGAGGGATGGAAGGAGAGGGAGAGAAAGAGAGAGAGAGAGAGAGAGAGAGAGAGAG